TGCGGCTTCATCCGCATTATTTTATAAAAAAACTTTATTTTATTCTTTACATTTGTCAAGTTCATAATTGCAAATGTCAAAATTCAAAAGCGCAAATGAGAACCATGACAATCTTGCTTTTTTGATGTTAGCATCTTATGGTTTATGATCCCTTACCCACATTAAGGTTTTTTCCAATTTATTTGCCCTCTAAGTTTTATAGCGTGAGAATGAATAGCTTAAAGTGTAGGAAAAGTTAAAGAAGGAATTATTCAAAAATATGCTGTAATTGCTGACATAAAGAGAAAAGATTTGCATTTTTGTATTCATTGAAAAAACTGAAAAAACCCTGGGGCATTTTATTCTTTTACTACTACGTTATCGTAGACATAGGCTATATTTTTAAATTTCACGTGGACGAAATCGCGAGCAACAGCTAGTAATATTATAAATGCGAATTTTGTTAGTTTGTAGCCTAAAAGCTAAATAGAACTTGATGAAATTTGTCATAGATGTAAAGAATCTGGAAGAACTCTTCCAGATTATTAATTTCAACATTAAATATATATTATTTACATAATTTCAACTAATTCACAATATTAATCAAGAAATACATTATTATTAATAATATTATAATAAAACTTACCGTATAATATGTATCAAGATCGGCCATATCACTTTGACACCTAAAAAGGCGTTTCTCTCAGGATAAGTGACACTGATCGCGATCTCCGCCATCTTGAGGGCTGCGATGACACCCTCTGTGCGCATGTCACTCAGCATGTCCTCCAGCAGCGCCATACACTTCGCTCCTGCGCCGAGGAAGAACTCCTCCGGACACAGTAATGCATACGCTTGCATTATATATATCACTATCCTTAGATGTTCCGTAGATTGTTCTGGAATGAATAAAAATAGCATTAAATTGTATTGCTAGTGTTATTAGAAATACGAAAAGCTTATGTGTCATCCAGACTGTCCTCTACATCTAAGCCAAATTTAATCGATATACGTTCAGCTGTTTAGGCTACAAACTCTAATAAACATCTATCTGTCCATCTAAACATTCGCATTGATAATAGTATTATGAAGTATGATAGCTTTTGCCCGCAACTTCTGTTGCCTTATTTCTGAATGGAGTCATAAAATTATATAAGCTTTAGGGAAGTGGCGTTCTTTCTCTTCCCTTTCTGCTGGCGTCCGTTGCCTTGTACATAAGTTGCGTAATTTTTGTATGAATAAAATTTATTTTTACCCATAAGACTTTCTTTTTGGTTTTAACCTACTTTGTCGACATATGTTTTGCGCCATTTTGCCTACGTGAGTCCTTAGTAAATCTAAAATATTAAATTTATATCAACACTTCGGATAAAACCACATTATTAAATAGTAACTACCCCCTCCCCCCC